CACACACACACACACACACACACACACACACATATATATATATATATATATAAATAATGTGGAAATATAAAGACCCCCCCCCTTCCATGTTGGTAATTGAAGAGTTATCACGTTGGGGGATGTTCTAATTAAATACTGTACAACCGTCAGTCAACGTTTCAATACCAAAAAATATCTCCTAGTTTCCAAGTATTCCAACTCGTCTAGTTATTCTGTAATGTTACGAGAACTGGGGTTAAGCCTAAAAACATTAGGAAAATACCTCCTAGTTTCCAAGTATTCCAACTCGTCTGGTTATTCTGTAATGTTACGAGAACTGGGGTTAAGCCTAAAAAAACAGGGAGATGGTAGAACTTGCAGATCACCACTTTGAATACAGTTTTTCACAGTGCGGTTTCGATGATGTAAGAGTCTTAGTTTATTCTGGTTTATAAGCATCTTGTTTCGTCTTCATTTAGATTTGACAACCATCTAGCTTTATTTTATTAATTGAATTATGTATTTTTAGTTCACATTATCTTAGCTACTTACTAATTAATTCTGATTCCAAGATTTCTGTTGATATTTCGCTTAAGTAGTTAATCATTTATTATTTCATTTGAATTTTTTATAATTCTTCCTCTTCTTTAGAGCCCCCCCCCCTCCCCAGTGGCTCTGCGGTAAATTTATTGTTTATTGACTTATAACGCCAAAAATCGGGTTTCGATACCCATGGTGGGCACACTGTAGGTAGCTCTTTGTGTAGCTTTGTGCTTAACAACAAACAAACAAACCACGTTATTGCTTGGCATGCTTATTTATCTCTGCCAGGAAATTACTGTCACACCTGTGGCGCTCCTGTTCACCACCAAGCTACATGTATAACTTCCGCGTTGTCAGTGTGGGGTGTTACAGATTTCTTTCACGTTAGAGAAGATTATTTAATTTTTCACACTTCACGCTTATTTCCAGTTCATCCCTGGAGAAGTATACCCCCCCCCCCCCAAAGAAAAAGAAAAAAAAGAATTAATCATACTATAGCTGATAATTATTCGTGTCACATTCTATTCCTCGACCTTTTCAGTAGTAGGGCTCCTCCCAAAAACTGTCAAGAGCCACTAAAAGGCAAATATAACGAAAACCATTACTTGTAAGCACTCCGTCAGTTCATTTTTTGTTCTGTGAAATCCCACGGTCCGTCATGGTGGTTGTGACGGACTGTTGCCGGTCAACTTACCAGTGGTTGAGTAACACTAGTTTAAAAGACGCAGTGTTGAATGCTACGTCTTGGTTTCACTTAATGAAAGCTACTTGTATCTATTTTGTTTTAAACAGTATGTATACTGTGTTGTCAGAAGTTGGGAACCAGTAAGATAATAAGTATGAAGTAATGAGCTTAGTGTTAAAAACATTAACACACAAAATATAAACGAGGGAATCCTGGATCTTTTCTGTTTCATGCACCGCGTTCAAATAAAAAGTAACATATTTTCTAATGTTGATTTCAGAAATATAAATTAAAATTTGGAGAAATGAAAAGAAGTATTTTTAATATTTTTTTAGATTAGGTCAGTTTATGTGAGGTTAGATCAAGTTAGACTAATTAGTAAATAAGGACATGTTTATTTAAATGAAAAATAAATTTCATTAAAAGATTCTTAAAAAAAATGAAAATATTTTCCCATATCTTCCCCCCTTTAAAAATCAATTCTCCAAATTTTTATTTTTTAAATCTGCAGCAAATTGAAAGTACATGGAATGTGGTTTAAGAGATGTAACAAGCGACACTGTGGAACCAATCGTAACATAATTGACTCGTATCTCTGAGAGTTCGTTTGGCGTCATAGGCATGAAAAATGATGATCTCTTCAAGCAAATATTTAATAATATTTCTGAATTTTCACATTGAATTTGTTACATAGTCGTAAGCAAAAAAAAAACAAAAATTCTTTTCATTTCTCCAAATTTTAATTTATATTTCTGAAATCAGCTTTAAAAACTACATTCAAAAATATGTATTCTTCTCTGTTTGAAGGCAGTGCATGAAACAGAAAAGATCAGGAATCCTCAATAGCCACGGCACTTGAAATTATTTTGGGCACGATTAGCGAAATTAATCTATGAGACCTTTGTTTCCTTTTTAATAACTATATTTTTGTGCTCTAGCAATACCAAGCGTGGAGCGCGCGTATACCCGATTCGATTTTATTACTCATCTGAATCTCTACAAGCCAACTCTCAAATTGAAATTCTTTTAGGCAGGATCAAAGTAACTTAATCTGTGTGACCTTGGGCGTGGTCAGATATATCAATCGAAAGGGTTTGACCTCCTGATTCCAAAACTGTAATTAGATCTTAAATCGGCCAAGTAATGACGGAGCTATGAGCTAAAAGTTTGTACTGACAAAAACAACAACAAACAGAGCCGTTCTACGAGCCTCTCAGTCGCGGCTAATTATCGAAAATCATGCTTGCCACAACTATGTGGGAAACATTTAACTTTAATATTATGCAGCGACATCTTTCTTTTTTCAATAAACGAAATAATTGAGAAAAGTTTTAGTAATTTGAAGCGGAACAGTTAATATATTGTCTTTATTTTTAAATGAGAAAGAATTATAGTGTTAAGTTTCAATTAGACTAAAAACGTGCCCATGAAATGCAGCACAACACACACACACACACACAAGGGTTTGTGTCGAAGGTCAACAATGTGTGATAACCACTTTTTTCTATTCATATCTGGAATTATCACAGACTAGACCTTATCTTACACATATATGTGTGCATAATGAAGGGCTTTGTGGTTTTATTAACTGTCAAGTATTTTATCTGTTTACTTATTTATTAAATCTTTTTATATAGTTGTTTATATCTAAAGAGATGTTTAACTTTGTCGTATGAATCACACATTTTAAAGAAGTTAACTGTTTTCAAGGGAACATTATTACTTTAGTTTTACAGTATTTAACGAACCACTGAAACTTCTCTCCTTTTTTTTCTAGTTCTGTGTGCAAAGAATCTGGCCAAAAAGGACTTCTTTAGTAAGTATATGTAAAACTAAGGTAATTGTTTTCAGGATTACTGCTTTAAGCAATGGACTTATGACTTTTGAACATGTGATACTATTATCTTGTATTACTTGTTATTTAAGAATTTCACATTTCCAAGGTCGTGATAATTTCAAACTATTGTGGTTTTGCACAGTAAAAGTAAGTTAAATATTCTGTTCACAAACTTCTCCAGTTTATCTTTGCGTAAAACTAAATTAGATATTCACTTCCCAAGCTTGTTCTGTTAGTATTTGTTAAAACTAAGTTAAATATTCTGTTCACAAACTTCTCCAGTTTATCTTTGTTTAAAACTAAGTTGGATATTCTGCTCCTAAACTTCTCAAATTTATCGTTGTTTAAAACTAAATTAGATATTCACTTCCCAAGCTTGTTCTGTTTGTATTTGTTAAAACTAAGTTAGATATTCCGTTCCCAATCTTCTCCAGTTTATTTTTGTTTAAATCTAAGCTGGATATTCTGCTCCTAAACTACTCCAATTTATCGTTGTTTAAAACTAAATTAGATATTCTGTTCCCAAGCTTGTTCTGTTTGTCTTTGTTAAAACTAAGTTAAATATTTCGTTCCCAAGCTTATCCAGTTTATCTTTGTTAAAACCAAGTTAGATATTCTGTTAAGTTTTTTGGGCCTAAGAACCAACTCCCACCTTCCATCAACGACGGCCCGACATGACCAGGTGGTTAGGGCGCTCGACTCGCAATCTGAGGGTCTCGGGTTCGAATCCCCGTGCCGCCAAACGTGCTCGCCCTTTCAGCCGTGGGGGTG